GTCTCGTTCTCTCTCTCTCTCTCTCTCTCTCTCTCTCTCTCTGCATAAGCGGGCTTCTTGTTTTCTCGGCCCTCCTGGCCACATGGCTAAAGAAAGAGCTTCTGGGCAGGAGCGGTTTGGAATCCACGCCGTTTTCCCACACACCCCCTTAATGACATTCATCCCCTCCACAATGGACGTGTGCCAGTCCACCCAAAGAAAAACATTAGCAATGGTCCTTGACTTGGCTTTGTGTTCAGTGGGAAAGAAGCTGGTCCCAGAAGGCCATCTGGGGAGCAGCTCCCTCCCAAGGAGGGGACCCGCGCCCGAGCCCCCCACGCCCCCCACCCACCCCCAAATGCAATGCACAGCCAGCAAGGAAGGAAGGAAGGAAGGAAGGGAGACAGGAATGTCTCCAACATCTGGCAGCAACGGGAAAGGGAACCAACATTTTGCAATCTTAGGGCTGCATTCCCAGCAATGACAAATCACACACAAGGCCAACCAAGTCATGTTTACATTTGGTTACGTCCACCCTTTCGTAAATGCAGTGTTTCTCAACCTTCCTAATGCCACGACCCCTGAATCCAGTTCATGTTGTGGTGACCCCCAAACCGTGACATTATTTCCGTTGCTACTTCATCATTGCAATTTTGCTCCTGTTATAGAATCCTAGAATCAAAGAGTTGGAAGAGACCTCCTGGGCCATCATCCAGTCCAACCCCATTCTGCCAAGAAGCAGGAATATTGCATTCAAATCACCCCTGACAGATGGCCATCCAGCCCCTGTTTCAAAGCTTCCAAAGAAGGAGCCTCCACCACACTCCGGGGCAGAGAGTTCCACTGCTGAACGGCTCTCACAGTCAGGAAGTTCTTCCTCATGTTCAGATGGAATCTCCTCTCTTGTAGTTTGAAGCCATTGTTCCATTGCGTCCTAGTCTCCAGGGAAGCAGAAAACAAGCTTGCTCCCTCCTCCTCCTCCCTGTGGCTTCCTCTCACATATTTATGTTATGTTTACATTTAGTTATGTCCACCCTTTCATAAATGCAGTGTTTCTCAACCTTCCTAATGCCACGACCCCTTCATCCAGTTCCTCATGTTGTGGTGACCCCCAAACCGTGACATTATTTCCGTTGACTACTTCATCATTGTAATTTTGCTCCTGTTATGAATCGTCATGTAAATGTGTATAAACCGCTGAGCTGCTGAACTTGCTGATCGAAAGGTCGCAGGTTCGAATCCAGGGAGCGGCGTGAGCTCCTGCTGTCAGCCCCAGCTTCTGCCAACCGAGCAGTTTGAAAACATGCAAATGTGAGTAGATCAATAGGTGGGAAGGTAACGGTGCTCCATGCAGTCATGCTGGCCACATGACCTTGGAGGTGTCTACGGACAACGCCGGCTCTTTGGCTTAGAAATGGAGATGAGCACCACACCCCAGAGTCAGACATGACTGGACTTAATGTCAGGGGACACTTTACATTTACTTTATGTATATACACTCTCTCTCGATAGATAGATAGATAGATAGAGTATTTCAAAAAGATGGACCTGATTTGAAATTCAGTATTATCTATAAGGCAGGTGGAGGGCACATGGAGCATTTATGAAATGGTTAATAAAACGTGATAACTCTTTAAATTGTTGGTAACTTTTGGCATAATGCGAACATGTTCCCATCGTGAGAGATCCGTCGTTTTGAAACCTTATCTATCCATCCACCTATCTATCTATCTGAAATGCATGTCAATGATGCCTATGGCTCACAAAGGCAGCAGCAAAGGCAAGGTGCCGGGTCCCCACACACGCGGGGAAGAGCGCAAAGAGATCCTGGGAGCGTTGCTTCCATAATCGCAGGCACGCCGAGGCGCATGGGAACGCACACGCAGAAGGGGATGCTGTGCCTGGGAGAGGAGCCTGGATCAGTTTTCCCAGCACTTCACATAAAAGGCTTTGAGAGCAACAGCTGCCATTCTAGACAAAAGCTGGCCAGGCTTTTCAAGGCCGGGACAATGCGCGTGTGGGGTGGAGCATGGGGGCACGGCGCAGGCAGGCGGAGGGAACCTCTCCCACGGCCCATTCACAGCCCACCGCCCTCGCCACGGCTCCAACGGCCACGGCTACCTCCCAGGGAATCCTGGGATCCGTAGTTCTGATATAGAGCTGCTTTTAGAAGGATCTCCCCAGCTAGGGAGATCCCGAGGACGGCACCAAAGAGAGTCCTTAAACCAGTACGTGTGAAAAAGATCTTGGAGTCCTCGTGGACAACAAGTTAAACATGAGCCAACAATGTGATGTGGCGGCAAAAAAAGCCAATGGGATTTTGGCCTGCATCAGTAGGAGCATAGTGTCTAGATCTAAGGAAGTAATGCTACCCCTCTATTCTGCTTTGGTTAGACCACATCTGGAATATTGTGTCCAATTCTGGGCACCACAATTCAAGAGAGATATTGACTCTAAGCTGGAAAGTGTCCAGAGGAGGGCGACTAAAATGATCAAGGGTCTGGAGAACAAGCCCTATGAGGAGCGGCTTAAGGAGCTGGGCATGTTTAGCCTGAAGAAGAGAAGGCTGAGAGGAGATATGATAGCCATGTATAAATATGTGAGAGGAAGTCATAGAGAGGAGGAGGGAGCAAGCTTCCTTTCTGCTTCCCTGGAGACTAGGACGCAATGGAAACGTCAAACTACAAGAGAGGAGATTCCATCTGAACATTAGGAAGAACTTCCTGACTGTGAGAGCCGTTCAGCAGTGGAACTCTCTGCCCCGGAGTGTGGTGGAGGCTCCTTCTTTGGAAGCTTTTAAAGAGGCTGGATGGCCATCTGTCAGGGGTGATTTGAATGCAATATTCCTGCTTCTTGGCAGAATGGGGTTGGACTGGATGATGGCCCAGGAGGTCTCTTCCAACTCTTTGATTCTAGGATTCTATGATTCTATGGTGAGGCCAGAAAAAGCCAATTTCAGCAATAAAAAATATTTAAAATAATAAATCCTCACCAAAGTGGAAGAAGTTTCAGCAATCGAGGTGTCTATAGTTCCACCAGCACAAGAGGACTCTGCTGGGAGATGCCAAATAGGGTCCGCCTGCCATCATCATCATCATCATCATCATCATCATTCTGACACAAAACCACAGTATGTCACAGCAAACGAGATCTATATGCTGGATCACAAAATCACAAAAATCACACGCCAAACACTTCCCAAAATCACAAAAACCCTTCCCATGCATCTAGGACTGTGTGATGTATTATTATTATCATTATCATTATCATTATCATTATTATTTAACTGACACAAAAGCAGAGTATGTCACAGCAAACGAGATCTCTACTCTGGATTTCGTATCACAAAATCACAAGTGGAACCCTTCCCAAGTGTCTAGGACTGTGTGATGTATTATTATTATTATTATTATTGACACAAAAGCACAGTATGTCACAGCAAACGAGATCTATATGCTGGATTTCATATCACAAAATCACAAGTCGAACACTTCCCAAGCATCTAGGGCTGTGTGGTTTACTATTGTTGTTGTTGTTGTTGTTGTTGTTATTTCCTTGACACAAAACCACAGTATGTCACAGCAAACGAGACCGCTGTGCTGGATTTCGTATCACAAAATCCCAAGTCGAACCCTTCCCAAGCGTCTAGGACTGTGTGATGTATTATTATTATTATTATTATTATTATTATTATTATTATTTCCATTATTTTACTGACACAAAACCACAGTATGTTACAGCAAACGAGATCGAGATGCTGGATTTCGTTTCACAAAATAACAAGTCGAACACTTCTCAAGCATCTAAGACTGTGATGTATTATTATTATTATTATTATCATTATCATTATCATTATCATTATTATTTTACTGACACAAAAGCAGAGTATGTCACAGCAAACGAGATCTCTACTCTGGATTTCGTATCACAAAATCACAAGTCGAACCCTTCCCAAGCGTCTAGGACTGTGTGATGTATTATTATTATTATTATTATTATTATTATTATTATTATTATATCAGTATGTCACAGCAAACGAGATCAATATACTGGATTTTGTATCACAAAATCACAAGTCAAACACTTCTCAAGCGTCTAGGACTGTGTGATGTATTATTATTACTATTGTTGTTGTTATTTTACTGACACAAAAGCACAGGTGTTTAGAGTGGCTTGTAGCTCTTCTTCTGAATGCGCACAGACGGCGTTGTCATCAGCATATTGGAGTTCTATAACAGATGTTGTTGCAACCTTGGTTTTGGCTTTTAGTCGGCTGAGGGACTAGATTTGATGTCAAGGGGACACCTCTGCCTTTACTTTATATGTTTTTGTGGCTTATGTGTTGTATTTATATGTTTGTATTGTAATGTGGTATGGAAATGTGCCTGAGAGAGAGCGGGATACCAATATAGTAAGGAAACAAACAAACAAGGCCGAGCTTCTCGTATGCTTCTGTGAAGGTGTTTAGAGTGGCTTGTAGGTCTTCTTCTGAATGCGCACAGACGGCGTTGTCATCAGCATATTGGAGTTCTATAACAGATGTTGTTGCAACCTTGGTTTTGGCTTTTAGTCGGCTGAGGGACTAGACTTAATGTCAAGGGGACACCTCTACCTTTACTTTATATGTTTTTGTGGCTTATGTGTTGTATTTATATGTTTGTATTGTAATGTGGTATGGAAATGTGCCTGAGAGAGAGCGGGATACCAATATAGTAAGGAAACAAACAAACAGGCCGAGCTTCTCATGTGCTTCTGTGAAGGTGTTTAGAGTGGCTTGTAGGTCTTCTTCTGAATGTGCACAGACGATGTTGTCATCAGCATATTGGAGTTCTATAACAGATGTTGTTGCAATCTTGGTTTTGGCTTTTAGTCGGCTGAGGGGACACCTCTGCCTTTACTTTATATGTTTGTATTGTAATGTGGTATGGAAACTTGCCTGAGAGAGAGCGGGATACCAATATAGTAAGGAAACAAACAAACAGGCCGAGCTTCTCATTTGCTTCTGTGAAGGCGTTTAGAATGGCTTGTAGGTCTTCTTCTGAATGCGCACAGACGACGTTGTCATCAGCATACTGGAGTTCTATAACAGATGTTGTAAGTAAGGAAACAAACAAACAAATGAAAAAATAGATGCAGTTGCTTCCTGAGACTGGAGAGCCTTCTCCCAGAAGGAGATCATGCGTGTTCATCTCTCTGGACATGCGTCCTGGGCTAGTCCAGCGAAGGCAGTTGTTTGGCGGCCGCCCTTCCCCACGCGGCGCACTGGCGGTGATGCGCACCTTCTGATGGCTTGGAATGTGATTGATCTCTTCTGTGGCCGGGCGAGTGGAGGGCCAGCCCGTTCCCAGCTCCTTGTGTGTGTGTAATCCCCTGGTTTCAATCGTTCACGTAGTAGCACAGACTCTCCACCTGCTCATTTTTTAGAAAGAGGGTCATTATCCCCGGGGCTATTCAATGTCAATGGAGCATGCAAGAAGAGCCGCTTCTCCTATTGTGTCCGCCGACTCCCTCTGATTGGCTCCCGAGTGTGGGAAACTCGAACGAAGCTGAGACCCACAGTGTCTCGGGGAGCCGGGGGTGTATAAATAGGGGCCCGACCCAGCTCGGCTCCATCACACACACTCTCGCGCTCACATCGCAAGCAGCATCTCGCCTTGGAAAGCATGGCTCCCTCCAGCATCGTTTACATGGACCAAAATGGCCTGCTCACCCCGAAAGAGAAAAACAAAGTAAGTAACGCGACACGGGGATTCTCCCGGGATAGCGATAGGATATTGCGTAGAAAAAGAGATTAAGTACATGCAGCCAATACGAGGGAATTGTGACTTTTGGGGCGGTTGGGACAGAGATCGCTCAACTTAACTGTATCTGGGTTGCTGTGCGTTTTTTGGGCTGTATAGCCATGTTCCAGAAGCATTCTCTCCTGACGTTTCGCCCACATCTATGACAGGCATCCTCAGAGGTAGAGGGGTCAGGCTTTGAAGCTGCAAGGCCATTCAGTGCTAATGCCACATCCAAGCAGGCAAGAGTTCTTTCTTTCCCCCAGCCACAGGGGCGGCGAAGCCATTACGCAAAGGAAGCCCTCGCAGTAGAGTTGGTGTTGCCCAGGGGTGCTCTTGCGGCGCTCTTGGGGGGAAATAGACCTTGACATAGGCGAGTTGGAGTTACTGGGATGTATAGTTCACCTACAATCAAAGAGCATTCTGAACTCCACCAATATGGCACACAACTCCCACGACGAACAGATATATATATATATATATATATATATGTGTGTGTGTGTGTGTGTGTGTTTGTGATTGGTTGGGGGGGGGGGGCGTGCCAAAATACTGTTTGTTTAACGTTGAAAATTACCTAGGGAAAATAGACCTTGAAATATACAAGTTGTAGCTCCTGGGATGTATAGTTCACCTACAATCAAAGAGCACTCTGAATTCCACCAATATGGCACACAGAACTCCCACGACGAACAGAAATATATATATATATGTGTGTGTGTGTGTGTGTGTGTGATTGGTTGGGGGGGGGGTGCCAAAATACTGCTTGTTTACCGTTGAAAATTACCTAGGGCTGCTTCTGTATACACCCCACTTGCCTCACAACCTCTGAGGATCCCTGCCATAGATGTGGGCGAAACGTCAGGAGAGAATGCTCCTGGAACATAGCCAAACAGGCCAAAAAATCCACAGCAACCCAGTGATTCCGGCCACAACACACTAGGCTTCTTTTGGGCAAGCCACACCAACTTCTTCGTCAAAATCGTGCCAATGTTTACGTTGTCCCGAACTGTTGGATCTGAACGCCGGCTAACAGGATTCTTCTCCTTTTTCTTCTTCTTTTGCAGCTGAGGAAGCCGGTGGTGGAGAAAATGCGCCGCGACCGGATCAACAGCAGCATTGAGCAGCTGAAGCTCCTGCTCGAGAAGGAGTTCCAGCAGCACCAGCCCAACTCCAAGCTGGAGAAAGCCGACATCCTCGAAATGACGGTGGACTACCTCAAGCAGCAAAGCCAGGTCCAGGCAAAAGGTGGGTCGCCTTGGCTCACTTGCCCAGAAACAACAAGACCTTGCACTCAACCCTGTAGTGTAGTCCAAAACAACCCCGTAACTGTAGCTACGGAATAGACCTAGTCCTCAAGAAATATTTCTCGACTTGGTTCAAGTCCCTGTCATTGCCTGAGTGAGGTATTTTAGTCATGCCCTTTATTAGAAACAGGCCATTTGGACTTGCCATAGATGCAGGCGAAACGTCAGGAGAGAATGCCTCTAGAACATGGCTCTATAGCCCGAAAAAACCTACAAGAACCCAGTGATTCCAGCCATGAAAGCCTTCGACAATGCATAGTCCATTTGGAATGTTGTGAATGGTCACATGAGATACGCACATTTCTCCGCATGTGGATGGAGTACAATTCCCATCATCCTGGGACCTGACAGGATGATGGGAGTTGTAGTCCATCTGCATTTGGAGAAACGTGTGTATCTTACATCAGGAGAATAACAACAACAATAATAATATAAATAAAGTATAAATAATAAAATAAATGACGGACTACAATTCCCATCTCCCTACCGATTCCCATAATGATGGGAATTGTAGTCCATCCACATCCAGAGAAATGTGCGAATCCTAAATCCAGAGAGGAGTAGTAATAGCAGTAGTAGTAATAATAATATAGATATAAATAAAGTATATAATAATATAAATAAACAATGGACTACAGTTCCCATCATCCTGCCAGTATTTTAAGTTGGTCATGATGGGTGTGTGCCAAGATTGGCCCAGATTCATCTTTGGTGGCCATGATGTGTCTCTCTGATTGTGGGAGCCGTCCTGGGGAGATTGGGGAGGGCCTATAACCAAAGTATATTATTATTATTATTATTATTATTATTATTATTATTATTATTATTATTATTTTACTGACACAAAAACACAGTAAAACAACAACAACAACAACAACAACAATAATAATAATAATAATAATAATAATAATAATAATGTATATTATTATTATTATTTTACGGTGCTTTTGTGTCAGTAAAATAATAATAATAATAATAATAATGTTTATTATTATTATTATTATTTTACGGTGTTTTTGTGTCAGTAAAATAATAATAATAATAATGTATTATTATTATTATTATTATTATTATTTTACTGACACAAAAACACCGTAAAATAATAATAATAATAATAATAATTATTATTATTATATTATTAAAAATAGTAATGTATATTATTATTATTATTTTACGGTGCTTTTGTGTCGTAAAAATAATAATAATAATAATAATAATAATAATGTATCATGATAATATCATCTTTCTTCTAATTGGGCTTGGGTTGGTGTACAATAATAATAATAATAATGTTATTATTATTATATCTAATTATAATGGAATAATATTATAATAATATTATAATGTATCATAATAATATCATCCTCTTTCTTCTCTTTGGGCTTGGGATGGTGTACAATAATAATAATGATATATTATTATTATTATATCTAATTATATCTAATTATAATGGAATAATAATATTATAATATAATAATAATGTATTATTATTATTATTATTATTATTATTATTATTATTATAGAGAGAGATTTCTACTTTCCTCAGGCCAACCATAGCTATCTCTTCCTTCTTCGTGGTCATGTTTCGGCCACCTTATTGGTGGCGATGCTTCCTAATGGTGACCGAAAGGTGTGACGAAACATTGTCTAAATGGTTGTCTCTCTTGTCTCTTCTCCAGTGGCAGGACCTGCTCAGAAAGACGCTCAGGTGGACTTCAAGCAAGGCTACTCCAAGTGCCTGCACGAAGCCTTCCAGTTCATGTCCCTCCACAAAGTCCACACCGAGACCCAGGCCAAGCTGGTGAGCCACTTCCAACGGAGCCAGATGCTGGCGCCGGACGCCATGAGCTCTCCTGCCGCGTTGAAGCACTCCTCCTCGTCCAAGAGCCTCCACAACCTCTGGAGACCCTGGTAGAGCGTGGACAGAAGAAAGGACTTTGATTCTAGAGGAAGGGCTCGTCATAACGCCCTGGTCCTCTTCTTCGTAGGGAACATTTTCCCTTGTTTATTATTTATGGGGGTGCTGTTTTGGGCGGGGATTCAGCTAGGTCTTGGTCTGAGGTGGGGCGGGACGCATATCTTCATAATGAAGATGGTGTCCATTTCATGAAGTCCTCCAGATATTGTAGGACCACAACTTCCATCATGCCTCTGCACTGACCAAACCGGCAAATTGAAAGAGTCCAAAACAACCAAGCCACTCTGGAGAAGCATAGTTTCCGTGTTCTCAATCGCTTATCAAGGTCTTCTTCCATCTTCTGTATCTCCAACATCTCTAAGCTTCTCCAGATTGCACATTCATCATGCTTTGGCGTGGTTTGGGCCTTTCAACACAACGCTGTCACCTTTTGCCGATCCCTGCCCACCCCCCAAGTATTGTTTCTTAGGAAAACACAACTTTATTGCTTTATATTAAAGAGAAAAGGAAGGGAAAGGAAGGGATGCGAATGGTTTGATGTTGTGCATCTTGGGGAGTAAGAAAGACGAGCTCTTCCTGGCGTTGTTTCTCTGATGACGACTTCCTCACAATAGAGAATAAATCCACTTACGATCCGGTTTCTGCCTCCTGCAGAATGCTGGGGTTTGTAGTTTAGTGAGGCTGTTCAAGGCTCCTCCCTGAACTACAAACCCCAGAATTCTTTGGGAGGCAGCAACCAGATTTCAAGTGGATGTATTCTCTAGTGTGACGAAGTCTTCCACCAATTCTCCCGCTACTGTTTCCTAGGAAAACGATCCCCTCTTGCTTTATATTAAAGAGAAAAGGATTCTCCCAGTCAGGGATTCTAGTGATTCGATGTTGTGCATTTTGTTTTGAGTGGGAAGGGTGCTTCGCTCCTCCCGGTGTTGGGTTTCATTGAAATCGCAAGTGTTTCCTCGCTTCGGAGGAAGGTTGCCATTCGCCACCTTCTGATGGCTGATGGCTTTGTGTTCTCCTGCTGCAAGGATCGTTGTGCAGTCTGCATACTGCGTATGCCTTTTTGTTGTTGTTGTTGTTTTGTATGACATTGTTGGAAAAGGACAAAAATAAAGAAAAAAAACCCTGCATTGTGCCATTTTCTCAACTTGTTTACCTTTTTTCCGGCGATGGCTGAAAAGATGCTGAGGCCGCGTGGAATCACGTTATTTATTTATTTCGCAATTTTGTATCCCGGTCTTCTCTCCTCTGTCGAGGGACTCGGGCCAGTTTCCAACATCAATATCACAAACAGTCATTAAAAACATCATATTACATATTAGACTAAAATATTAAAATAGCAAAATGCAGTCACATAATTACAATGGTCAGTCGTCACAATAAAATCGTTGTTCATCATTCATCATCATCCATCCCTATCACAGTCGAAAGCCAATCCCCAAAGCCAAGTTTTCACCTGTTTCCTGAACGTTAAGATAGAAGGGGCAGTTCTGATCTCCAGTGGGAGAGAGTTCCAGAGCCGAGGGGCCACCACCGAGAAGGACCTGTCCCTCGTCCCCACCAGGCACGGTGGGACCGAGAGCAGGGCCCCTCCAGACGATCTTAACAATCTAGATGGTTCATACGGGAGAATACGTTCGGACAGGTAAACTGGGCCGGAGTTGTTTAGGGTTACTGCTTCTAGAAGTTACTGCTTCAACTGCTTCCACCCCAATGGCATTTTCCTAGAAGCGTGGAATCAAAGCATTGGAGGAGACCACAAAGGCCATCCAGTCCAACCCACTGCCTACTTATTTATTTATTTATTATTGTTGGGAATCGGAGCTGTTAGGCTCAAAATAACCCTCAATTGGGGTGATTCCCCCATAAATAGAGCAGAGTGCTAGAAGTAAACTTCATAACCAGCAGAGAGAAAATGGGCCAGAGTGAAGAGAGAGGGGCCCAGGGGAGAGTTCCATRTTGTCTCCTGCATATCTCACCCATRGGGGACCCCCTCCCTCCAGCACCAATTGCCGCTCTGGGCCAGAGTGTAGAGAGAGGGGGCCAYGGGACAGTTCCACCTTGRCTCCTGACTATGTCATCAGTTGGGGAACCCTTCCCCAAGCACCAATGGCTGCTTTGGACCAGAGTGGGGGGGGGGGGGATGGTTAGGAGACAGTTCCATCTTGTCTCCTGCATATCTCACCAATTGGGGACCCCCTCCCTCCAGCACAAACTGATTTGGATTATGGGACTTGGGGTAAAGCCTATGCAAGGAAATTGTGGAGAGTAGAATCCTAGAGTTGGAAGAGACCTGGTGGGCCATCATCCAGTCCAACCCCGTTCTGCCAAGAAGCAGGAATGCTGCATTCAAAGCACCCCTGACAGGTGGCCATCCAGCCTCTGTTTAAACGCTTCCAAAGAAGGAACCTCCACCACACTCCCTCCGGGGCAGGGAGTTCCACTGCTGAACAGCTCTCTCTCACAGTCAGGAAGTTCTTCCTCATGTTCATGTGGAATCTCCTCTCTTGTTGTTGGAAGCCATTGTTCTGCATCCTAGTCTCCAGGGAGGCAGAAAGGAAGCCTGCTCTTTCCTCCTCCCTGTGGCTTCCTCTCATGTATTTACGTGATAGGCAAAAGGAAAAAAGTAAAGGTTGGTGGATATTGAGGCTTCTTGGAGAACGGGGACACTGACGGAAGGTGGGCGTGGGGGCTCAGGGGTCCAAGGGGGCATGTAGGGCATTGGTCTGCAAATACTGAGGGAGAAGCAACAGATCTCGGTATCTGCAGGGAAGGTTTTGTCCCATTAAATCAGCATTTGGATTCAATGGGATAAATGCTTGCAAAATAGCGGAATAAATATATGCTGCTTGTCATCACGCCTGGCGGTTTAAACAATAGCCGGGATAGAGGATGTGTGTCTGTTTCCTTAAAGCTCAAAGGGAGCTTGTTTCCTGGAGAGAGAGCGCCTGCCTTTCCTTCCCTCCAGCCTCCTTCCCTCTGGGCTTCTCTATCTATGGGCAGCAAAATGTGATGCAAAAAAAGCAAAAAAAGCCAGAGGGATGTTGGCCTCAGGCATCAAGAGGAGCCTCGTGTCTAGATCCAGGGAAGTCATGCTCTCCATGCTCTGTTCTGCCTTGGTGAGACCACTTCACCTGGAATATTCACCTGGAGGTAACAGCTGACTTGCGGAGCGGTCTGGTGAGATTCTTAAATCCAGCCCTAATCCCTTCCATCTTGAGCTCCCCCAAGTACCAACCACCACCATTGGCAACCGAGGGTTCGAAGGAGCCCTCAGGGGGTCTTTTGGTGGGTTTCTACTTGAAGAAGGGAGCTGAGAGGGGGAAAGAGAAAGAAGAGAGGTAGAACGCTGAGGCCACCTCCATCTTGGCCTGGCAAGAGCGTTCCCCCTTTGCCGCCTGACTGCTGACTGCTGATGCCTGACTGGTCTTAACACCTACCGGTGGGCTGCCTCATCTGCCCCTTGCTACTGCTCCGGCCCCGTTGCCAGCTGGCTGGGCCCCGTTACCTGCTGCCTCTGGCCTCCGCCTGCCTCTGGCCTCCGCCGCCGCCGCCGTGCTGCCGCACGCGCTTGGTTGCCGCGTTGCTACTGCTGCTCCCAGCCGGGGGGGCCGCTCTTCTCGCGCCCAGTTGGCGTTTCGTCGGCGTCCCCCTCTTCGTCGGCGTCCCCCTCTTCGGCGCTTGGTGGTTCCTTCTGCCTCGGAGCCGGAGTCCTCCTGTGTCTCCTGGCGGCGGCCGCCATTGCTTGGAGGACCGTGGCCGCCATTGCTTGGAGGACTCGGGCGGCCACGGGGTGAGGACTTCCTGCTTTCCGGCGCCGGCTTTCCGGCGCGCCGGCCATTGGGCGCGCCAGCTGCTTTTCGGCGTGCCGGCTCTCAGCGTGCCGGCCTGTCAACGTGCCGGCTTCTCCACCGCGCCAGAGGATCGTGGCCCGCCACTGCTAGGAGGACTCGGGCTGCCACTGAGCGAGACTTCCTGTTGAGCGTCGGCTTTCCGGCGCGCTGGCCCTCGGGCGCGCCAGCTGTTCCTCGGTGTGCCGGCCTTCCCATCGAGCCTGCCTGTCATCGCCCTGGCTGTCTGGGCCTTGCCGCTCCAATTCATCTGGGCCGTCTCCGGGCGGTCCGCTGCCAAGGTCCTTCTCCTCCGCGGAGTGCCAGTGCTAGAGAGCGAGCTGGGGCCTACTGCCGCAGCCGAAGTCGCCGCCACGAACGCCGCAAGCGCTGCTCTAGTTGGGATCTCTACCACCGGGCCTTACCAAGCAGGCCGCTGCACCGCGGGCGCCGGTCCTTCTGGGCTCCAACCATCTGCACCCTTCCATCTGGGCTTCTACCACCTGCACCAGACGCCTTAGCCGCCAGGCCCAACGTCGCTGCTCTTTACCATCCGGGCCTTCACCATCTGCGAGGGCTGTTTACCTCTTTTTGTGTCGACCGATATTGTGTGAGATCAATTGTGCTGACCGCCGCCGTGTTAACCATCCCCGGAAGACTGAGAGGCTCATCCGCTACTTCAAATCAGTCGTCCATAGATTACACCTTGAATCATAACCTTACCAAATTGATACTGTTGCCAATCTCCTTAAGTCTGTGTTTACATATTGCCAACATAGCACGTTCCTTGCTTAGCTGCTGCTAATTGATACTAAGAACGCAATATAGCACTTTAAGGCGCCTGCCTCTTTTGCTGCTAAATCGTACGAGCACTTACGCTCCCTTCCCCCACCCCTCCATGCCGCACTTTATGTAGCGCTGTGGGCCAGACCTGGGTTTTGTAGCACCTTAGATCTCTGCACTTTACGAATTGCCCTAGTGGCACACAGCTGTGACGTCTATTGTGTTGTATTTTAAGACCCTGCACTTTATGAACTATCCAACGGTCGCGCTGAGACGTTTACTGCACTTTATAACTTTCAACCTTACTGAAGTGTACTGTTATCACCCATGTGGTTCCCCATCCCCCTATTTGTACTGTCCTGGCTATTGGTGACCAGTGGAAAGGGCAAGGGGGGAAGTGGGCTGGAGTTCGTGGATAACAATGAGGTGGGGAGGGGGGAGAAAGGGAATCAAGGGAGTTGGCAAGAAAAAACGCCAACAAACCAAACATCTAGTGAAACAGAAACTAAGATCTTGGATTTGGACTGCGGCATGGAGGAGGGGAGGTGTTCCACTAGCCGAGGGGCCCCCATAGAGGTCGTGGTGGGAAGGAGGAGATGCGGAAAAGGAGACCTCAAATTCGGCCTAATTCGAACCGCTTATCTAAATTAATAATTCCAAACCGGTCTCCTAAGGTAAATTGGTGTAACCAGGTGAGCGGGACCTCTGGATTGAAGGTGGTGCTGTTGAACGCCAGGTCTGTCAATGGAAAAACGATCTTTATCCAGGATCTAATCCTGGATGAGCGGGCAGATCTGGCGTGCATTACGGAGACCTGGTTGGATGAAGCTGGAGGGGTGAACCTTACCCAGCTTTGCCCTCCAGGCTTCTCCGTACAGCACCAACCGAGATCTGGAGGACGGGGAGGCGGGGTCGCAGTGGTCTATAGAGATTCCATCCATCTGACCAGGAGTTCCATCCCGCAGACAACAAATTTTGAATGCGTCCACCTGAGGGTGGGTGACCGGGACAGAATAGGGATTCTCTTAGTGTACCGTCCACCTCGCTGCACTACAGTCTCCCTACCTGAGCTAGCGGGGGTGGTCTCGAGCCTGGCGTTGGAGTCTCAACGGCTTCTTGTGCTGGGAGACTTCAATATCCATGCCGAGGCGACCCTCACAGGAGCGGCTCAGGACTTCATGTCTGCCATGGCAACCATGGGGCTGTCCCAACAAGTATCTGGCCCCACCCACAGTGCTGGACATACATTGGACTTGGTTTTCTGCCAGGGATGGGAGGCAGGTGGCGGTGTGGAGGAGTTATCCATCTCTCCGTTGCCATGGACTGACCACTTCCTGATCAGATTTAGGCTCACTGCACCCCCTAACCTCCGCAAAGGTGGAGGACCCATTAAGATGGTCCGCCCCAGGAGGCTTATGGATCCGAATGGATTCCTGACGGCTCTTGGGGATTTTCCCGCCTCCTCGGCAGGTGACCATGTCGAGGCCTTGGTCGCTCTCTGGAATGGGGAGATGGCCAGGGCAATTGACGTGATCGCTCCGGAACGTCCCCTCTCAAGTAGCCGAGCTAAACCAGCTCCTTGGTTTACTGAGGAGCTGGCAGTGATGAAGCGAAGGAAGAGGGAACTAGAGAGCGTGTGGCGTTCGGATCCGAGCGAGTCAAATCGAACACGGTTTGTGTCCTTTTTAAGGGCATATGCCGCGGCAATAAAAGCCGCAAAGAAAACTTTCTTTGCGGCCACTATTGCGTCTGCAAGGAACCGTCCGGCGGAGTTGTTCCGGATTGTCAGAGGTCTGTTAACTCCCACCACCTCAGGTGGGAGCCCTGACAATTTGGCCACGCGCTGCGAAGCATTTGCTCGGTTCTTTGCAGACAAAGTCGCCTTGATCCGTTCTGAGCTGGACATCATGTTAAATGCAGTCTCTGTGGATGTGACACGAGCACCTGCTGGTCCTATTTTGATGGATTCTTTTCAGTTTGTGAAGCCCGAGGATGTGGACAAGATACTTGGAGGAATGAGGCCTACCACGTCCATCCTAGACCCCTGCCCATCCTGGCTTCTGAAGGAGGCCAGAGGGGGATTGGCCGAGTGGGTAACGGTGGTGGTTAATGCCTCCCTTCGGGAAGGCAAGATTCCGGCGAGCCTAAAACAGGCTATTATAAAGCCGCTGTTGAAGAAACCATCATTGGACCCCACTAAATTCGACAACTTTCGGCCTGTTTCCAATCTCCCCTTCTTGGGCAAAGTCATGGAAAGCGTGGTGGCCTCACAACTCCAGGTATTCTTGAGAGACACGGATTATCTGGATCCGGCACAGTCTGGTTTCAGACCGGGACATGGTACCGAGACGGTCTTGGTCGCCTTAGTGGATGATCTGCGCCGGGAGCTAGAAAGGCGGAGTGTGTCCCTGTTGGTGCTCCTGGACCTCTCAGCGGCCTTCGATACCGTCGACCACGGTATCCTTCTGGGGCGTCTTGTGGAAATGGGCCTCGGGGGCACTGTTTTGCAGTGGCTCCAGTCATTTCTGGAGGGCCGCACCCAGAAGGTGTTATTGGGGGACTCCTGTTCAACACCACAGCCTTTGACCTGTGGGGTTCCACAGGGCTCTATACTGTCCCCCATGCTGTTTAACATCTACATGAAGCCGCTGGGTGAGATCATCCGGAGTTTCGGGGTGCGGTGTCATCTGTACGCAGATGATGTCCAACTCTGTCACTCCTTCCCACCTGCTACTAAGGAGGCTGTCGAGGTCCTGAACCGGTGCCTGGCCGCTGTAACGGTCTGGATGAGGGCGAACAAACTGAAATTAAATCCAGACAAGACAGAGGTACTCCTGGTCAGTCGCAAGGCCGAACAGGGTATAGGGTTACAGCCTGTGCTGGATGGGGTCGCACTCCCCTTGAAGGCGCAGGTTCGCAGCTTGGGTGTGATCCTGGATTCATCGTTGAGCCTGGATCCCCAGGTTTCAGCGGTGACCAGGGGAGCATTTGCACAGCTTCGGCTCGTGCGCCAGCTGCGCCCGTACCTCGGGAAGTCTGACTTGGCCACGGTGGTACACGCTCTGGTCACATCCCGCCTTGATTACTGCAACGCTCTCTACGTGGGGCTGCCCTTGAAGACGGCCCGGAAGCTTCAGCTAGTCCAGCGCGCGGCAGCCATGTTACTAACAGGAGCGGGACGCAGGGAGCACACAACGCCCTTGCTGTTCCAGCTCCACTGGCTGCCGATTTGCTACCGGGCCCAATTTAAGGTGCTGGTGTTGGCCTACAAAGCCCTAAACGGTTCCGGCCCAAAATACCTTTCTGACCGCATCTCGGCCTATGAGCCCACGAGGGCCTTGAGATCATCTGGGGAGGCCCTTCTCTCGATCCCGCCTGCCTCACAGGCACGTTTGGCGGGGACGAGAGATAGGGCTTTCTCGGTGGTGGCACCCCGGCTATGGAGCACCCTCCCGGTGGACATCAGACAGGCGCCCTCCCTTATGTCATTTCGCAAGGGTTTAAAGACTTGGTTATTCGAGCAGGCGTTTAACTAAATGCTATAATAAGTGGCAATGATAACTGGAACGGAATACGGAATACGAGATTGGTTTACGATTCTATGATGAGACGACTCGGATGATTTAGAGTAATTATATTATTGTGGTATTATTGATGGTTATGTGTATATTTTGTTTGTATGAGGGTTTTATTGTAAACTGTTTATATGTTGTACACCGCCGTGAGTCGCCCGAAAGGGCTGAGAACGGCGGTCAACAAATGCAATAAATAAATAAATAAATAAATATACTTATTGTGTCCAATTCTGGGCACCACAACCCAAGAGAGAGGTTGACTCTAAGCTGGAATACTGTGTCCAGAGGAGGGCGACTCAAATGATCAAGGGTCTGGAGAACAAGCCCTATGAGGAGTGGCTTAAGGAGCTGGGCATGTTTAGCCTGAAGAAGAGAAGGCTGAGAGGAGATATGATAGCCATGTATAAATATGTGAGAGGAAGCCACAGGGAGGAGGGAGCAAGCTTGTTTTCTGCTTCCCTGGAGACTAGGACACGGAACAATGGCTTCAAACTACAAGAAAGAAGATTAGGACATTTTTCCTGACTGTGAGAGCTGTTCAGTAGTGGAACTCTCTGTCCTGGAGTGTGGTGGAGGCTCCTTCTTTGGAGGCTTTGAAACAAAGGGTGGATGGCCATCTATCGGGAGTGCTTTGAATGCAATTTTCCTGCTTCTTGGCAGAATGGGGTTGGACTGGATGTCTGGTGGAGTAATGCTGGCTAAAGAGTCTAATTTCTCTAGTGGTCTGGGGCAGAGAAGGGAGAAGAGAAGAAGTAGGAGGAGGAATAGAAGGGGAAGGGAGAAGGAGGATGCTGAAGAAAAGGAAGGAGAAGGTGAAGGAAGAGAGGGAGAAAGAAGGGAAGCAAGATGAGGAGGAAGGGGAGGGGGAGGAGAAGAAGAAAAAGGAGAAGAAGAGAAGGGGAGAAGGAGGATGCTCAAAGAAAGGAAGGAGGAGGTGAAGGAAGAGGAAGAGGTGGAGGGGAAAAGGAGAAGAAGGGGGAGAGGAAGGAGAAGGGAGAAGAGAAGGAGAGGGAAGAGAAGGAGGAAGGAAGGGGAGAAGGAGGATGCTCAAAGAAAGGAAGGAGGAGGTGAAGGAAGAGGAAGAGGTGGAGGGGAAAAGGAGAAGAAGGGGGAGAGGAAGGAGAAGGGAGAAGAGAAGGAGAGGGAAGAGAAGGAGGAAGAGAAGGGGAGAAGGAGGATGCTCAAAGAAAGGAAGGAGGAGGTGAAGGAAGAGGAAGAGGTGGAGGGGAAAAGGAGAAGAAGGGGGAGAGGAAGGAGAAGGGAGAAGAGAAGGAGAGGGAAGAGAAGGAGGAAGAGAAGGGGAGAAGGAGGATGCTGAAGGAGAGGAAGGAGAAGGTGAAGGAAGAGATGGAGAAAGAAGGGAAGAGAGACAAGGAGGAGGAGGGAGGAGGAAGAGGAGGAGGAGAAGAAAAGGCACCAGGAGGAGGCGACCCAGCTGGGACTTCAGCTGGACTTGGCTTGGCTTCCTTTGACCTTGATCGAGATGAGGAGGAGGAAGAAGTAGGAGGAGGAAGAGAAGGAGGACGCTGAAGGAGGGAGAAGGAAGGAAGGAAGCCAGAGGAGGGGGAGGAGGAGGAGGAGGAGGAGGGGGCCCTGCCTGGGGCTCCAGCTGGGCGTCTAGCTTCCCCCCGCCCCGCGTGGAGGGCGGGAGGTGCCTCTGCCGGGAAGGGCGTGGAGGGGGGCGGGAAGAGGCTCCCCCTTCCACTTTCGCTTTCCCCTTGGTGTCCAGGCTGCGCCAGAGCAGAGCAGGGCCGGGGGCCGTCTGGATGTCCCCGGGGCGCCCCCTCGGAGGCCCTCCAGCTGGGACCATGCGGCGGGTGAGTGAGGGAGTGAGTGGGTGAGTGGGTGAGTGAGTGAGGGGGCCCAAGCACAGCCAGCAAGCAGGACTCCCCAGGGCTGGTTCTGCTCTCCTTAGTTCAGCCTGTTCCTTGGTATCTGTATCTATCTATCTATCTATTTATTTATTTGTCGTGTCAGGGCAACCACCAATTATATTACATTTCTAACAGAACAAAGCCAACAAACAGACAGAATACACAACTTGTGAGTTTGGTAGTTGGTTAAATGTCCTTTGACCAGCCTCTGGCCACTTGGAGTGCCTCTGGTGTTGCCGCAAGAAGGTCCTCCCTGGTGCATCATGTGGAAGAAGGGCTCAGGGTGCATTGCAGCAGGTGGTCAGTGGTTTGCTCTCCTCCACACTCGCATGTCGTGGATTCACTTTGTGGCCCCATTTCTTGAGGTTGGCTCTGCATCTCGTGGTGCCAGAGCGCAGTCTGTTCAGCGCCTTCCAAGTCGCCCAGTCTTCTGTGTGCCCAGGGGAGAGTCTCTCATTTGGTATCAGCCATTGATTGAGGTTCTGGGTTTGAGCCTGCCACTTTTGGACTCTCGCTTTCGTGGTGTTCCAGCAAGTGTTTCTGTAGATCTTAGAAAACTATTTCTTGATTTAAGTCATTGGTGTGCTGGCTGATACCCAAACAGGGGATGAGCTGGAGATGTCTCTGCCTTGGTCCTTTCACTATTGGCTGCTACTTCCCGGCGGATGTCAGGTGGTGCAATACCGGCTAAGCAGTGTAATTTCTCCAGACACCCCGTGATAATGCGGCATGTCTCATGAAGAGCCACATCCACTGTTTTAGTGTGGTGAGATGTGTTCCACACTGGGCATGCGTACTTAGCATAGCAGAGTAGTAAAGCGCAAGGGCAGATGTCTTCACTGTATCTGGTTGTGATCCCCAGGTTGTGCCAGTCAGCTTCCGTATGATATTGTTTCTAGCACCCACTTTTTGCTTGATGTTCAGGCAGTGCTTCTTGCAGGTCAGAGCACAGTCCAGAGTGACTCCTCCCAGGGATTTGGGTGCGCTGCAATGCTCCAGTGGGATTCCTTCCCAGGTAATCATCCTCAGAGTTCGGGATGCTTCTCTGTTCTTGAGGTGAAAGGCACATGTCTGTGTTTGAGATGGGTTGGGGATCAGCTGGGTTTCCCTGTAAGAGGCAGTAAGAGCACCTAGAGCTTCAGGGAGCTTCTGTCCAACCATCTCAAAGCTCCCTGCTTGGGCGGTGATGGCATGATCATCAGCATAGATGAAACTCTCTGTCCCTTCTGGCAGTGGCTGGTCATTTGTGTAGATGTTGAACATGGATGGAGCGAGCACGCTCCCCTGAGGCAGGCCGTTCTTCTGTTTCCGCCATCTGCTTCTCTGGCCCTGGGACTCAACAAAAAAAGCTCCTGTTCTGTAGCAGGTTTCCTTGAGCGGTGATGGCACGATCATCAGCAGAGATGAAGCTCTCTGTCCCTTCTGGCAGTGGCTGGTCATTTGTGTCGATGTTGAGCATGGATGGAGCAAGCACGGTGACTGGCGTTGTTTCTTGGTGACTGGTGTTGAATGTTGGCCATTGTGTTTGGTTTCCTGGAAGCTGCCTTGAGTCCCCTCGGGGAGATGGGGAGGGTCACAAATCAATTATTGTTATTATTATTATTATTACTATTATTATTTGAAGCACAACAAGATGAGTCCACAGCAAACGAGTTATGTCTATGTCTATAAGAAAATATGGAGCAAAGCTGCCTTTTCATGAACCAGCAACTCGTGGCTTTTGGAGTTTCCAAACTTCCTGAGCTAAGAATCCGCCAACAAAGGACGCAACCAGACAATAAGTAAATGGCTGTTGCGTTGGATCACACATCGGACCCTTTCCAAGTAACGTGCAGATCCCAGTAAGGTGGTCTTTTGCAGCTGACAGTTGGTGATTTGGGCTGTGCTGATTGTGTTTAAGTGCAGGCCAAGGTCTTGAGGCACTGCACCCAGAGTGCCGATCACCTCTGGGACCACCTTGACTGGCTTGTGCCAGAGTCTTTGCAGTTCGATCTTTAAATCCTCGTATTGTGTCATCTTTTCCACTTGTTTCTCTGCAATCCTGCTGTCACCTGGGATTGCAACATCGACAATCCACACTATGTTTTTTCACACGATTGTGAGGTCAGGAGTGTTGTGCTTTAGAAATCTATCTGTCTAAATCCGGAAGCAGTTTGGCGTGTTCATTCTCTGTAACTTTTTCCGGCTTGTGATCCCACCCGTTCTTTGTCGCAGGCAGACGGTGTTTGTGGCACAAGATCCAATGAGTCATCTGAGCAAGGGTGTTGTGCCTCTGCTTGGAGTCTGTCTACAATCTTCTTACAGCAGCTGAGGATGGGATCTAGTGTTTCATCTGCTTCCTTGCAGCGTCTACACTTGGGATCTTTATTTTATTTTGGATTATTATTATTATTAGGAGATTCCATCTGAACATTAGTAAGAACTTCCAGACTGTGAGAGCTGTTCAGCAGTGGAACTCTCCGCCCCGGAGTGTGGTGGAGGCTCCTTCTTTGGAGGCTTTGAAACAGAGGCTGGGTGGCCATCTGTCAGGGGTGATTTGAATGCAATATTCCTGCTTCTTGGCAGAAGGGGGTTGGACTGGATGATGGCCCAGGAGGTCTCTTCCAACTCTTCGATTCTAGGATTCTAAGAACTTCCAGACTATGAGAGCTGTTCAGCAGTGGAACTCTCCGCCCCGGAGTATAGTGGAGGCTCCTTCTTTGGAGGCTTTGAAACAGAGGCTGAATGGCCATCTGTAAGGGGTGATTTGAATGCAATATTCCTGCTTCTTGGCAGAACGGGGTTGGACTGGATGAGTGCCCACCGAGTCTCTTCTGACTCAGTGATTCTAGGATTATTGTTATTATTGGGACGCAGCCAGCTGGGAATCCTGGCCTGTTTGGACTGCCGGGGAACTGTGCTGGGATGCGTAGTTCTCGGATCGATTTCCCCTTCTGTGTTTTGACGGAATTAAAATCTGGGCAGTTGATGACAAGCTAGTACAAGCCAGGACTTCATGCTAGCAGAAGAATGGGATTACATCAGTGTTTCTCAACCTTGGGATCAGGACCCCAGGGGGGGTCGCAAGGGGGTGTCAGGGGGGGTCACCAAAAACCATCACAAAACATAGTATTTTCTGTTAGTCAAGGGGGTTCTCTGTGAGACGTTTGGCCCATTTCTCTTGGTGGGGTTCAGAATGCTCTTTGATTGTAGGTGAACTATAAATCCCAGCAACTACAACTCCCAAATGCCAAGGTCCAGTTTCCCCCAGACCCCACCAGTGTCCACCCTCCTCCAAACTGCAATAGGATGTAGTCATGGGGGCTCTGTGTCCCAAGTTTGGTCTTGATCAGTCTCTGTTGGGGGCTGCAGTGGTCTGTGGGAACCGAAGGGTCTGAGAGTGCTACAAATCCCAACACCCATTGTCCGTCCTCCCCCCAATCTCACCAGGATGTAGAGTGAGTCATGGGGGTTTTGTGTCCCAAGTTTGGCCCAGGTCCATCATCCGTGTTGGTCGCTGTGGTCTATGAAAGTGAGAGCCAAGTGAGAGCCAATCAGAAAGCGGCCACATTCCCCTCTGCATACGAACATTCACTTTTATTGCGTACAGAGAGAGATAGACAAGACATCTAAAAATTAGCAAACCTTGATTTTGCAGTTCTCTCTAAGGGATTTATGTATTGTATTATGCCATGGTTTGTAATGGGACTTGAAGACGGAGGATTTTGGTATCGAGAGTGGGGCGGTGCCCTTGGGATCAAACCTCCGTGGGTCCAAGGGGGTCACTTTACTTGGGAAAGCTGACCGGACAGGTCACCGGACAACCGACCTCCCAATGGAAAGCTCTTGCCCACCAAAGGTAAACAATGCACCAGGAGCCCAGAGTTTTTGCAAGAGGGGCTGCTCCACGTTGGGCGCCACGTGCACCGCTTGCCCCCCATTTTTGCCCCACGGGTGACGTTTCTGCATTCTCCCCTTGTGTGGGATGCAGGCGCGCTCCCTCCCTGCCATTCTTTTCTTGTGGTGGGAAATCACGTAGCGATGGAGGAGTCAGATATTGCGTCGGTTGCGTCAATGGCAAACCCCATAAGCTGCGGTTGCCAAAAGGTCACGGGCCCCTGTTGCCGAGTGCTGTGCCTTCTGAATTTGCAGCTGAAAATATATGAATATACTATATATTATTTTTTACTAGCTTGAGTTATTTGAAAAATTGAATTTTTTACTTGCTTGTGGGTGAACTATAACTCACTTCATGCCGGATTAACCCCAAGAAACTCCATTAGTACTTAAAGTTTGTTGTGTTGGGCAACTTTGCTCTAGATGCATCATCGGTGGGGTTCAGTGTACTCTTTGGCTGAAGGGTAAACTACAACTCCCACTATGATGAATCAGTCCTCTCAAACCCTTCCGGTAGGTTGAGTTAGTCATGGGGGTCCTGTGTGCCAAGTTTGGTCCAGGTCCATCATTGGTGGAGGTCACAGTTTCTCTGGTTGTGGGTGAACTATAACTCCCAGAAAAAAAGATCAGGTCGCTGTCCCCCAAACCCCTCCAGTAATCAAATTTGGGCACATCAGGTATGTGTGCCAAGTTTGCTCCAGGTCCATCATTGGTGGAGGTCAACATTTCTCTAGTTGTGGGTGAACTACAATTCCCAGAAAGGAAGGTCACTGTCCCCCAAACCCCGTTCCCTAGTAATCAAATTTCAACATATCAGCTACGTGTGCCTAGTTTGGTCCAGATCCATCGGTGTTTGGGTTCACAATGCTGTCTGGATGTAGTCGAACTACAACTTCCCCAAATCAAGGTGATTTCCCCCCAAAGGCCTCCAGTATTTTTTTTGCTGATCATGGGGGCTCTGTGTGCCAAGTCTGGTCCAATTTCATCCTTGGTGGAGTTCAGAGTGCGCTTTGATTGCAGGTGAACTATAAATCCCAGCACCTACAACTCCAAAATGCCCAGGCCAA